AAACTGCTAATTCGGTAATCAAACGTCCAGTGCAGCTATTGTACAACTTAGAAATTGATGATATCAATAATTGCAATAATCAGTGACTGGTCAAAAAATAGACTGAATGACTGATAAACTGATAATTTTTTTTTTCATAATGTTTTCATTTATTCATTTTATTATTTTCCTTGGTTTAATGATTTGTGGTGATCTTGAGAAATGTTAATTTAAATGTTTTGTTTTTTCTGTAGTTTCAAAAAAAATTTTCTTGGTGTTAAGAAATTATTGATATAATGTGACCTGTATATGTAAGTGATTTTTATTTGTTTCTTATAGTTATAGTAATATTGTAATAGTTAGTTAAATTTATGATGAAACCTATTGTTCATCAGGGGGGGAAGTTTGTTGAAATTATTTCTTTTTCCCTCCGATGGATTCAGTTTTCTTTTATTATTTATCGTCTGTCGCCGACTAGGTCACGTGACTGGCGGCAGAGAAAGAATGTAATAACTCTTTTAGTTTAGCTTGAGTGCGACGCTTGAAATGATCAGTTCTTGGCCGCATAGCAGTAATCAACAATTACACTAATTGTTCTTGATAAACTAATCTTGGCCCTATGATGGGAAATTTATATTATATGCAAATTTTGTGTTTTGAATAATGTAAATAATGTACATAAGCTCTTCTTTAAATATTTCTGTGTTTCAACTGGAAGTTCTTATTTTCAAGTTGAGTCTTTACGTGGAAATGGTATATTGACTCTTGATTATACTAGTATATTCTTGATTAAATTGATGCTCTCCCAACTCGTGAATAAAATAGAATCGTGAATTCGTGATCGTAAACGAAACAAGTTTTATACACAGTCTGCAATGTTTAGATTTTTTTACTATGTGCTTTCTGGTCTTATGCAGCTAGCACATAACTATATAAAACATACAAACACTGAAAATTAGCTGTTTGGAATTCAACAAGGATTTTAGAAAGTCTTAAGAGTTTCCGTATGTTGTGGGTTCAACAGATTGCACACATATTATTATTAACAATATAGCAGTGCTCAACTAGTTTGTCTTCATTAATCATAAAAATAAATTTTCTATTAAAGTTCAAATGGTATGAAAATGTATGAGATAGATACTGACTCGAAGCCCCTTCTGCTGGCCCGGACTTGGCGCCGTCCGACTATACGGCGGGTGATCGAACTGCTGCCAATGAAACTGTCGAATTAACGATTGAGTGACATCAGCAGTATGGACCGAGCATTGTCATGGAGCAACACAATTCTTTTACTGAGCATTTCTCTTCGTTTATTTTGAATGGCCCGCCTTAGTTTTGTTAAAGTCTCACAATATCGTGCCGCATTAATGGTTTCACCTCTGGGAAGAAATTCAGTAAGCAAAACGCCTTTCCTATCCCAGAAGACAGGGCACATGATTTTTTGTGATGACATTGTCACTTTGAACTTTTGTTTTTTCGGAAAATGAGTGTCTCCACTCCATCGATTGTTGTTTCGATTCTGGTGTGAAATGACACACCAAGTTTCATCACCTGTCACAATTTGGTTTAAAAAGTTTTCTTCCTCATCACTGTACCGCGTGAGAAATGTCAGGCAGGCACTACCAAGTCGCTTTGTTTGTGAACATCAATGAGCATTTTTGGAACCCATCGGGAACACAGTTTGCGATAATTCAAGCGGTCAGACACAATTTCGAACAAAACAGTACGTGAAATTTGTGGAAATGCCTCTGAAAAAGTTGTCATTGTGAAGCGTCTGTTCTCATGAATTGCTTCATCAACTTTCCTTACCAAATCATCGGCGACAACAGAAGGCCGACCACTCCGAGCCTCGCCGTGGACATTAGTTCGACCTGCATTAAACATTCTTACCCACTTTCTCACCATTCCATCACTTATCGCGTATTCACCGTAAACTTCAGTCACTTGATAAATTTCGGCCGGTTTAACATTCCTCGTGTTCAAAAATTTAATCACGGCACGAATCTCACGGTCAGCGGGAGAACTAATTGTCTTAAACATTTTGAATGTGCACAGGAAACTGAAAACACAACATAGAGCAACCAAAATGGCGACAATTGAAAGTCAGTGAATAAGAAAGACTAGTGCGCATGCACGGGATGCCTACCACAGCGCTAGAATGAAACGGTACTTAGTTTCCGAATACGCTACATATATTTCATTGAGATATTTACTGATGTATTACATGCTGAAGTAACACAGTCTACGATGTTTAGATTTTTTTACTATGTGCTTTCTGGTCTTATGCAGCTAGCACATAACTATATAAAACATACAAACACTGAAAATTAGCTGTTTGGAATTCAACAAGGATTTTAGAAAGTCTTACGAGTTTCCGTATGTTGTGGGTTCAACAGATTGCACACATTGAAAATGTATGAGATAGATACTGACTCGAAGCCCCTTCTGTTTAACACCCAAAGCTACCAAATTCAAAACTATAGCAATCTCGTCCCACATTTCTTTTTGTTCATTGACACTGGCATATGATTTTCCCAATGATCACTAATTCTTTACACCTTTCCAAAGAAGTTACTAGAAGTTCCAATTCACAAAAAAAAAAAAAAAAAATTACCAATTGTTGCATTTGTTAAAAGAAAAACGTGAGCTTCCCCGAGCTCGGAGGAAATATAGGAAAGGATAATTTTTACTTACATTGAACCGCAGTCTCATTGGATAATTGACGTAGTTCATTGGATAGCCTCTCCTGGCACAAGCGTTAGCTGGCTTTCAATTGCAATCTTGGTGTCATCAGTTGCCAAGCACTGCAGCTGGATTCGATTTACCAGGTAATAAGTACGAATGCCTCTAGGCGGCCAAATTTTACAAATTGCCAGAGCGTTACACTTGAAGTCACCTCCCTATTCTGTGATTTTTCTCTTCGGTAAGTATAAACATTTTTCAAAATTTACCAAATTAAGAAGCAGTTTTTCATAAGGAAATAAATTCCTGTTAAATGTCCCATAATAAAAATCAAAAAACATTTTAAGGCATTATTTTCATTTTAAGATAAACCCAAAAATGTAACTGTCACCTATTTATGCTACATATAACCTTTCCTATTACAATGCCACAATCGTTATCAATGTAATATATATATATTGCTAAGGTCTAGGGATTCGTCGACATCCCTTTGAAAAACTTCAGATATGCATGAAAAAAGAAATAATTTATTATATAAATTCCCGAAACATAGCACAATAAATAACTGTATATAGTTGAAAGAGGATTCAGATATTAAGCAATTTCTCCTTAGCACATGAGAAATAGCTTCATTAAAATCTTTCGCAGAATGCTAAATCACAGTTTAGCTAGCTGCATTTAGATGCTAAACCTCACAGCTGATTAATAACCAATCAATTCCTCCCGGAGATCAAAATATAACAAAAGATTTCGTAACAGTTTTTTTTGTATATTAATGTATGCTCTAATGGGATAACCTTATAGTTCAATGATGCAACTTAGTAGGTAGGTAAACAAAGGTGAGTGTTAATTATACGGTGCTAAAGGCAAACAATACTGAATATTATCAATGAGAATTATGATAAATGGTCTTCGTACTTTTTATAGATTGATCCACAAATTCATCATAATTAAAAATATCTCTCAAATAAGAACACTTCATCTTGAAAGATACTGTGAGAATAAGCCACGATATCAGTCAACATATTCGACTTTTAAGTCTCTGTGGAGAACAGATTTTCTCAAAAATCAAGGTCCATTGATGATTACACATAACTATCTATTTTGAGAGATTTAAACCTTTTTATGATGCGTTGTGTGAACTTTAGCCAAGTTTATATGTTCTTGGAAACTTAACTTGTGATCTATGGCGACTCCAAGGTACTTGATATTTTCCCCAAAGATAACTGTGTTAATTGAGAACTGATTTCTATGGTTGTAGAAAAGCATATAAAACCATTTCTCAGAATTAATTTTGAATCTCCACTTGTTTCCATCTCTTATTTCATAAAGTTCTTGTATTTTTCAAATACACAATTACAACTAATTCATCTTGCAAATAAGGCAGTGTAGTCATATAAATTGCTTCTTTGCAGTTTGCAGTAATGCCTATCCAATTAACCTGGCTTTAAATGAACTAAAAGTGAAAAATAAAAAAGCTATTGCACTGTGAAAAATAACATTATAAATGCTTTTATTTTAAATTCTCAGTACCATATTGTTGTTGTTAATTTATGCACATTTTATTTCATCAAAATTTTCATAAATTTTTTATTCTTCCATTCATTATTAACTGATTATTTTCATGAATCATACTTTTGTATCTAATTTTAAATTAAAAAATTTACCATAGCTATTTATTATTTCACTTATATTTCTTTTCTCCATTACCATTTTTAGTAGCTTTCTGTAGATTTTGGGTGCTTCTGTTTGAAGGAAGATAACAAATTGCAAATTTCAAGACAGAATGTAATCGAGATCTGGAAATTTCAGGAAAAAAATGGCATACGTCTTGCAACGAATAAAAATTTTTCTCTTCCTCATGAACCTAGGTGATTAGGAAAGTAACTGACTTTTGAAGCAGGAGAATCCGTTTCCGAGGAAAAAATTGATTTTCAGTGTATTATGAGTCATGCACACTGGGCTCAAGATGATTGAAATAAGCAAATACATGGCTTTGTACATTCACTTCAGAAGAAATCAACAAAGAAAATATATGCGCAATACTGTAAAAACATGATAAATTATATTTTTTATTAAAATGGTGAGTTAAAAAAATTCCTATGGTTGCTTACTTTGTTAGCAATGCTTCAATGTATTGCCTTTAATTTAATGCTTTCCAATAATTAAAAGTTTTATCTAACAGGTAATTATTTTACCATAAATGCCTTCCTTTTTTTAATCCTTTTACAAGTACAATGTATACAAAATTATTTTATAAAAATGAAATAAAAAACTTCGCTTGCTGCATTTTACACTAAGATGCTTGTACTATTTTGGAAAATACAACATCAGATGATAAACTGCACAAAATATTAATATATTTTATTTATCAACAAGTAAATATAAAAAAAAAAAATGAACTAGATATTACAACTGCAGCAAAAACGAAATAAAAACCACACTGATCACAATCATGGCTAATTCAGCAAAAATAAAAATAAAAAGGCACCAATTATAGACTTTACATAAGAATACTGATAAAGGGGTACACAGAAAATATTTCTCAAATGTTTAATCAGTGTTTACAAAAACCTACAAAAGCATAACTTTATTAGCTTATATAAATATTACAATAAGTGTAAATAAAACTCGAAAATGAATGTCTAAGTTTGATGATACAATATTAAGTACTACAGCTGAATTCATCTAGAAAAAACTGTTAAATAATTTGAAAATGTCTTCTTTTTCACACTAATTTTATGATGAAATAATTTTCCTGTATTTTCCAAATGTTATTACTAGGATTAATGTAAAACTGCTGATCCATACTGTGCTTCCTACAAATTAGCCAGTAAAACAGAGATAAAAATTATAAAAAGGAAAAGCAATTACCATATTTAATTATAAAAAAGTTCTTAAATATATAAATGTAAGTACATCAGAAGTCATTTTGATAATTTAAATGTCTGGAATAGAGTGGTCCATTGTTTTCTTGATAAAACTTGAAGCAGTGCTAGAAAAAGAACATAGAGGTTAATAGAAAGTACATATGAGACATAAACATTTTACATACATTTAATAATAATTCACACTTCAAAATATTTCATGATAATTTTTAACATCTGTGGAGACATTACTGCATAATTTCTGTATGGAAATGGCAACCCATATTTATTACAATTATTATATTATGTTGCCATCATAAACATGGTTTGTGATAATACCTAGCCTTTGAATTTATACTCAAGTAGATCACATAGAACTTTGCATTACTTGATCAAAAATACTTTTTAACCACCATAAATGGTGTCAAGAATTCTAGCAACTTCAAAGTAGCTACATGACCCAGCTGGAAAGATTTCTGCATAATTAGATTTTTATGCTGTTAAAATGTTAATGCTGTAAATAAGAAGTTTTTAGGCTGTAAATAAGAAGGAATACCATAAAAGTTTAATATTATATTTTGGGAGAAAAAGGCCTTTTTCTATGCCATTATTTTTAGATGGTGTACCAATTTTTATAACTTCCTGAATGAGGACACTATATCCACCCAATTTCTATGAGAAAATGTTCCTGCTGCACAAAAACTTGACTAAATACTCTACGTATATCAAAGAGAATTCTTTGGTCATCTGTTTTTTTTTTTTTTTTTTTTTTTTTTTTTTTTTCTTGTTAAATATAAATTAAGAAGTGTAAGAACATACAAAAATTTCATTTTCAATTCTATTTTGTTCTATAATTTTTTGTCATCTCTTCGGCAGTTTAAGAATTCCCTTTTTTAATTGTAATAAAGTCATTATGTTTTTTCATAAAGAAGTTATTGAGCTGCTGCTTGAGTTTCCAAAGAAGTGAACTCCATGCCATTCAGAGAATTCTGAAGAACCTGAAGTGATAAAAATCTGATGGGCCAAGGACTGATGAATAAGAAAGATGACACAAAACATCACAGCCATACTTATTAAGTCTGTCTGACAATCACTGAAATGTGGGGCCAATCGTTGTCAGGATGGAATAAGTTCTGGGTTCTTTGCTTTGATTTCTGCCTTTAAAACTGCCATTTGGGAACAGTATTTTTCTGAATTTATTATTTGTTTTTGTGGCAAAAATTCATAATACACAATTCTTTTGTAGTCCTACTATACACAAAGCATTACCTTTTTTTGGTATGCAGCCCCCTCTCTATATTACCAAAGAAGGAGGTTCATTTGACTTCTGCCATTATCTTTTTCTCAAATTGTTATTGCATAGTATCCACTTCTGATCTTCAGTTATAAGCCATTAAAAAAGGAAGCTTTTTTATTTCATCTAAGCATTACATCTTTAAATTAGAATATATTCTATTCTGTTAAAGTATAGGGTACATCACAGTAGCTTATATATCTTTTTTTTAAATGAGCAAATAGTGTATATTATTTTAGATATTTAGTCTGTTAGTTCATGAACTATGTAATGTGGATTCTCAGAGAGACAGCTTCCTTTTAACAGGTCCTTGTTTACAGAGGATGATTGTCCAGATTAGGCATAATCTTCAATGCTAAAATTCCCAAACTTAAATTTTTCAAACCACTTTCATACTGTCATCTGAAACAGCACTCTGTCCACATATAGCATAAATTTTATAAGTTGTCTGATTCGCCTTTTTTCCTTTTTTAAATTAAAAGAGCACAATATGATGAACATGAACTTTTCATCATATTATGCTTAGCAATAGACTGGAACAAAAATCATGCTACAACACATAATTATGCAATGTGAGCAGACTGTATTTACACATCATCAATGTCTCTTCTTATAAGCAAGAAAATAATTAGAAAAAAAAAAAGTGATTCAACTTGAAAAACTTCAAAGATTAGCAATTGCACTTTGGTGCTTTCCTGACAAATCTAACAACAATAACAAAAAATGCACATCAGGTAAAAATAATAATTGCATTTTTTGTTTCTAGCTAACTTCTAATTGGGAAAGAAAATCAGTGGATCAGTGGAATGGTATGCAAATCTTTGTTTATCTGCAACACTTAATAAATGGTTCATAAAGAGCCCCAATCTGGCCTTCAAGTATAGTATTTGCATGGCAATGAATCCCCATTTACAGAAGCAAGAAGTGTAAAATTTTTGCAACAGAACAAATTTGTAATTCTATCATACTCACTATACATTCCCCCTTTTTTGGACTCAGAAAGAATTTTTTTATTGCTTACTTTCTTTAGCAAAGAAGAAAATAAACTTGGCCATCAACAGATGAAACCACAGTAGTAGAGGATAAATTCTAAAGAACACAAAACTTAACACTGTAATTTTTTTTTTTTTTTTTTTTTTTTTTTTTTTTAAGGTTCAGTAAATGCAAACACATGCTAAGTGTTCTTTGAAAAGATGAAATAAATAATTCATTTTTATTTGTTTTCATTAGTGAATAGTTTAAGACTTTTTGAATGTTCCTCATATCAAAGGATTTAATGATTCCTTGTATGATGATACTTTAACTGAGGAAAAACAAGAACTTGATTGAAAAACTTTGTTTTTAATTAAAACATAAAAGGAGTTCCATATTTCTCTGTCACCAACTACACAGTTATCTTCCGGAAGTCATGTAACACACATACAGTTGTCAATTATAGATGTAATATTGTTATATATATATATTATTATTGTTGTTGTATATATTAGTACCAATATTGTTGTAATATTGTTTTTAAATGCTTTTTAATGCATTACTGCAATATTGTGCATTTATTTATTTTGTATTTGTGGCCATATTTTTTTATATGTGTAAGTGTTTGTTTTTTATATGTATTTGACTCTGAGTTTGGCAATGTTTGATTTGTAAAAATAGCTTAAGTAGAACACAAGATATGAGCAAATACAATCCTCATTTTCCTTGCATACAGATTCTTCTAAAAAATTCCCAAAGCCCATGTAACACTATAAATACTGCTCAGACAGCTTGGATAACTTATTGTTGTTGATATTCAGTTATGAGATTTAATGTCAGCTAAATTGTGATTTAGAATTTACTCTGCAAGTGATTCTAGCAATTGACATTTTTCATGCAACAAGGAGAAAATGTTTAATATGCACTGTCTACTTAAGGTAGTTGTTGTTATTTATTGCGCTGTGTATAATGAATTTTTATAACAAACTGTAAATCCTTCTTGCTTATTTAGGGTGATCATTTACAGCAGTGGTTCTTAACCTGGGTTGCATGAACCCCTGGAGGTGTGAGAGAGCATTTCCAGGATCCAACAAAGATTTAATAATAATAATAATAAAAAAGAACAAGGTGACCGTGCATGTTAAAAACAGCATCGATTAAAATGTAAACAAAACCAACCTATGGCAGCAGCAATGGTAAATCGTGATGCCATGCCCTGATGTTTCATGTCTTTATTTACATTGCCCAGGACATTGGTTTGGTTTTTAGCTGATTATGGCAAAGCACACGAGGAATATCTGCCTTAAGGAGAGGGAGGCTTTCATGGAGGACTTTCTATGGAAAACTACCTTGTATATACATTACACATGGAGAAAACAACAAAAATGCCCATGCAGCCATCCTGTTCACTTGGAATTGCATATTGTGCTTATCATCAGTCATCAGTACATGCAGTTAACATACTCATGTTGTCATGTGCAGTGCAGAATGTTATTGAGACATATTTGTATACCTTGAATAAGGACATAAATAAGGTCTATAAAAATATTTATTTTAATTAATTAATGTTGTGCAATATTTCTTGAAATTAAGTAAATTTACCTATCGATAAAATTTATCAATTAATTAATTTTTTAAATTGGAGTAACTACCATTATGTCATAAAAGCTTCAACTAAAAAAATTGGGTCATTTATGGATTTATTTGTACAACAGAAAAAGATGGTACGAAACCACCACAATGTATTTTATGTTCCAAAATATTTCCAACTCCAATCTTAAACCTTCAAAATTGTTAGAGCATTTTAATAATCAGTATGATGGTGATACTGCAGGATATAGTCTTAAGAGCCTGAAATCTATGAAAACACGATTTCATGCTGGTGGTACTATTACAAAACCTTATTTTGCAGCAATTGAAAAGCCTTTGCTAGAAGCTTCTTATCAAGTAGAATACCTCTGTGCTAAGGGGGGGGAAGAGCCATATAATAGCTGAAGAAGATAGTAAAAACACGTGCACTTGAAACTTCAAAAATATTGTTTGGTTTTGAAGCACAAAAGAAAATTCAACAAATTCCTCTATCGATTGGTGCGATTCGATTGCACATTGAAGCTCTCAGTGCTGATATTTAACTGCAAATAATAAAAGATATCAAAGCCAAGCCTCTAAAAATAAGCACCCAACTCAACGAGCCAGTTGATGCTGATAATTGCAGTCAGTTATTAGCATTTCCAGGATACAATTAAGACAATGAAATACTAGAAGATTTTCTATTTTGTGAACTGCTTGATTCAATGACAAAAGGCACTGATATTTTTAATCAAATTTTAAAAAATTAGAACCCCCCCCCACTGAATACCCATACATATTATAGACTCAGTTTTTACTGATTATGCCCCTACAGTGTTGGGTAAAAATCCTGGATTAATTTCATATATGAAGAGAGAAATACCACAAGTTACAGTAACACACTGCATGTTGCATCAACAACTTTTGTCAGAGAATTTGAAAAAATATCTAAATACTACCGTGAATGTAGTTAAGTACATTCGAGAACGAGCACTTAATCATCATATAGAATGAAAAAATAATAATACACCTCCAGCAATTGAGGGAATCATTTGATGGATACTTTTTCACGGGGAATATTAGCAAAATGGATAAATGGATACTCAGTCTGTTTTTGTTTGATCTACATTCAATGCACAATAGTAATTTTTTAAAAGAACTTAAAGAAATATGAGCTGATGCGTATGTGGAAGCAGCACTACACTGCATATTTGAGCATTAAAAAAAAAAAAAAAAAAAAAAAAAAAAAACCCGAAATAATTGCTTAAATGCATATCTGATGATTTATGCTTGGCTATTTTTTTTTGCATTACAGTATTTGTAGTAGCTTATTAACAAATGTCTCATATTTACATTACATATTGATAACATGACTAGGTTTTTCACAAATTTAATGACACAAAAGAACTGTTGGTGACCCCTTCCCTTAAGGAAAAATTATATTTTGAGGCCGATATTTCTAATAATTAATGTAACGAATCTTACTCCATCAAAACTTTAATCAGGGAAAAGGAAAAAAAAATTAATAATCAGGGATTTAAAAATCATTACATTTTGAAAAAAAAACCTAATCAACTCACACCTAATCTGAGTATTTTATTCAAAAATTTCCCATTTTTTAACATTGAGTGAAGGCTTTACACACTTCAACATTACATTTTGTATTATCGTGGATCTTAGAATTTAAACATTTTGGGTTTTTTTTTAATAGCTCAAATATTGCTTATTATTGAAATACTCCCTTTTCTGCTGTATACACTGCTGATAAGCACACTTCAATTCCTTAAATTACACAGTTTAAAGAAATAAGGTTACCCTGAAAATTGGAGAATTCTCAGTTAATTTAGCTTCAATTTCAATTTCATACTTGTGCAGTTGTTTAATATTTCAGTTCTTGCACATCTTTCAAAATGCTACATTCCATGGAACAATTTATTGCAATTCTCTTTTTCAAGGGCTTTCTTTTTAAATGTTCAACTTTAGTCCACTGTCTTTCTATTCAATTATTTTTTAAAGTGATTGATTAAAACTTAAGTGGATGATTTAAATGAATCATCTACTTTTTCAGTATAATGCCCAATTTGAAAAGAAATGCCAAAAATGTTTAGTACTTTTCTGTTAATGGGGCATCCTTCATTGCCAAATGTAAGTGTTGGCATGAAGCTTAACTAGATGGTTGCAATCCTGATGATACATAAAGCTTCAAGAAGGGAAAGCAACAATATAATAAAAGTAATATACTTCATAATAAAAAGTTAAGATAAGAAGATTGGGTTCATATATTTAAAACATTCCCATCTTTATCAACAACAACTTGCTTCCAACTTCACTGTTATAAGCTACTTACTACAAATTCTGTAATGCAAAAAAAAAAAAAAAAAAAAAAAAAAAAAAATAGTACTGTATATAACAAGTCATAAATCATCAGCTAAAACAATAAGAAATGAGCAATTTTAGAAGGCAGAGACCAGATAATTTATCTGCTCAGTCATTAAATAACAACAATGAAAGCATGCCAATTTTACATTTCTAAGAATAATTCATTACTAGAAAAGTTCAAAAGTAAGTTCAAGATAAGTAAATAATCTTAAAAACTGAAAAGCAACCAAACTCATTAAAATTTCAACTAGAACTAAAATAATATAATTTGATGCGTATTAATTTTGCCTAACTTTATGCTATACGTTTAAAGAATGATGATGTTTCATCTCTTATCCAGACTATGAATGTCTTCAAAGTTGCATAGTTCTTTATAAGCTGTCATGACATTATAACTTGTTCAGATGATTGAAGAAAAAACAACTGTGGACTGAAACTGCATTTACATGGCATATGTATATACAGTTATATTAAGTAAGACTCTTTTTCTTGTTTGCAAAGATGTAAGTTAAAATGCACATACATTTAAAATATAAAATTAGTTCTTGTTTTTTAAAATTTTGTCAATTTTACAGAAAATTTCTTAAGAAATAAGATAAATATTACAGCTGCACAATTTTAATACTACATAATTTAGAATTTCACTTACTGTTTCAGCATATGATCATATATAAAAGAAGGCATGATAGTTACGGTCACTGGGGATTGGCTCTCTCTTATGAGTGCTGAAACTTCTTTGTCTTTCAGTCCAACTACATTTTGGCCATTAACCTACCAAACAGAAATTTTAACATTTTTGCTTTAAAAAAATCACACAATACATTTCATTTTTAGAACTTTAAGTAAAAAATAATTATACTTTTTGATTATTTAAACCCCCTACTCAAAAGTCGCAAACTCACTGCCGACTTTTTGTGAACTCAATGACAACTAATTTTTCAGCAAGCTAATGCACAAAGAGCAAAAGTAATTAAAAAAATTGCAGCACATTAAGAATTTCATACAAAAACAATCAATCAATAAAATTTAAAAAGCAAGACACACTAGTAATCAAATACAGTCAAAAGTCGTTAATTCGGACACCCATAATCCGAAATGATCTATAATCCGGACCTCAAAGCTACAAACTTTCTGCGCATGCGCAGAAAGACCTTTACGGCTGCGAATATGCATGTGCGCATGCCCAAAATACGTTTACATGCGAGTTTAATGTATAACAGACGGTATAAGCTAAGCTAAAATTATTCAATTCAATTAATGTTGCAGATTGCGTTGTTCCTTAATCTTCGAATTGGATCCGGCTTATTATTTTTTGCAGACTGTTAGAGCAATTTTATAAAAGTAAGCTTGAACTTTCGATTATGTCAAATAGAATTTCCGATATATATTAACAAATATGTAAAGGATCTACAAAGCGTAAGTATGTTTCTATGTCCATCAAACAAAAAGTGGAATTGCTGCAAAAAATGTATAAAGGCATATCCTTTGTTTCTCTAACCATTTGTTTATCAATTTCACGCTGCTCTGTGGGGGAGGGGGAACGTCACGGCGCGCGCTGTGAACTGGAAGTTGATCTGTCAGCACTATCCTTATCTTCAGGGCAGATGTTTTTATTTTATTTGGCATATAATTCCTTACTAAATGTAGTATTTCTTTGCGATATACTCCGTCTTTGATACAATTTAAATCAAATTCCACGTCATTATAATTCGCTTCCGATAGCAAAGAAAGTAAAGTAAACAAATAAATATTAAGCTTTTTTTTTTTTTTTTTTTTTTTTTTTTGTAAATTTTGATACCCTTTAGATCATAATTATTCTTTATTTCATAAATTACGGTTTCATATTTTTAATTTTATAATTTCTGCATGCCATCTTACCAAATTTAAACTGATGATCTATAATCCGGAATCGCCGAAGTCCCGACGAGTCCGGATTAATGACTTTTGACTGTACTTACCTTTTTCAAGAACTTCTTCAGGGTTCATAGCCACATTTTAGTTAAAAAAATAAGCACTTATAAGCACTTTTCAAGGAAAAAATAAGCACCTGTCTAATTACATTATACACAACTGCATAACCTTAAAAGAAAAATTAGACTTGTAATTTAAAATATGAGCAATGCAATATTTATTACGAGAATGAGCATTACCTTAACAATGGAATTTTTTTTTTTTTTTTTTTTTTTTTTTTTTTTTTAACTTTAAATGACAGTTCAATTTACAGAATTAGTTTACAATGACAGAAAAAAAAAAAAAAAAAAAAAACTATGCAGAACTAAACTATGTATATTACAAAATTAAATGATGATATTTCAGTTGAAAATATAGAAAATAAATAATAATAAGCCATATTAATTGTATTCGTTTGGCACCTAATAATAAATACACTTTATTTTTCCACTCATATTAATATTTAAATGATTTAACTTAAATCAAAATTCTGAACATTTCTAAATTTTCATTGCATAACAGTTTTCCCTTAACATATATCCCAAGCAAAGTAATTTAAGTAAAAAAGAGGCACATTTCTGAAATCAGAAGATGGGAAATTGCTTCATTTAGTCATCCTTTAACAATAAAAGCTTAACTAACCCGCATTTTCGGAAATTCCCGAATATTCCGGATAGTAACTGGAAAAAGAGAAGTGGGGGAGATTGTAGCCGTTCTTTAGATTTAAATTTAAGCTAAATAAATGATTTTGACATTTCGATATGTGCATCATATAAAAACCAACGGAACTGCGAAATATTCTGCTTTTAGAAAGCACAGTAAAACTCTTTTAAGTGTTCATAAACAAATCTCAGACTGAACATCAAAATTAATTATCAATGCAAAATATCGCAAACGTTATTGCGCACGTGATATTATGCAATTAGAATCAACAGCTGCCGGTATTCGGAGAATAAAGAACTAAATAAAGGAAAAAGAAAGAGACTTACTAATCTGAGGTGTTTATGATTCTAATTTTCAACAGACTGTATTAAATTTCCGGAATAGAATCAATCTTCACTTGGGTTGGGTAGACAGCAAAAACTTTTAGTCCTATTCATTCTAGACTGGACAGTGACAAAAAAAAAGTCCGCTGCTTCAATATTAGAGATTTTGCGGAGAAACTTCCAACATCCGTACTGTATAATGTATTGGCAAAGAAAATGAAATTATTTTGACTATTCGATTACTTTCCTTTTATTTAAGCCATTCCGAATATTTTTTCTTAGAAAGTCAATCTGTGTAAAAACACACCCATTTTTGGAAGTTTATCTATACTTCAGCAGTTACTGCAACTATATTATTATAAATATTCATACATATATGCTCATAATATAAGCATAACGATCATAATAAACACGAATATGAACTGACCACGCAAAACGAGAATGCAAATTATTAAAAAATCTTGATAGAAATTCAAACGTGTGTAGTATTTGGGTGGGAGAGAAAGAATATGGAATGTACCGGAATTTTCTACCGTTTTCGCAATTCTTTGGCCAATAGAACGACGTGCACCTGTCTGTACTCTCGCGCGCACCATAGGTTACGTTAATGCAGAGGAAGGGGAGGAAAGCAATTTCCAGGAGTATGATTTACCATCTGACGTTGCATATAAGGAAGAAAAGTTGTTTATTTAGTTTCGTCTTTGGTACAGGGAAAAAATGTGCGTTCATTATAAACAAAGGATTAAAAAAAAAAGCACTAAAAGCAAAAAAATAAGGGGTTTAACGAAAAAGTAAGTATTTTCAAATATAAGGACTTATAAGCACTTGTAAGGACCGCTGTTCGAACCCTGTTCTTCTTTTCTCTCAGCGCTGTTCTCCTCATGTACACCAGCTGTCAGTTTTCCCTTATGGAAGTACACAAATTTAGCGCTCCATATAACTTCTGCATAACACACCAGTCAAAACAGATACGCGCTACAAGCATACCTGGGTTTCCAAGTGAATTCTTTCTGGCAATAGCATGTGTTGCCTCATAGTTATTTTGGCAACATATTTGCTTTGCTATATTAATATTTTTTGTGACTTTTCAGAGGGTTGCAGACAATTAGAAAGTACAAAAATAATTAATATGTAAGATATTCACAATGTTTAAGAAAAAGGTTGCATACTTATAACAATAAAAATCCAGATTTCCAAAATCTGAGCTAAAACTAGCGCAACATTTAAAGCAAATTAACAGGCTAAGTTTTACACATAGCACCTCAGAAGTGCAGCCTACATATGGAAACTTCATATGATAGGAACCTCACAATGCATTGAAATGATGGCATTTACCATAGGGCAACACAAGATATTAAAGGGCACACTGGGAATTCATTCAGATATGGCTAGAAAGTACATGCATGCTGCCAAAGGACAGACACATCGGTGCTATATGATTTCAATGGTATACCTATAAAAATGCATGAAGTGCACACTTTTTGTACTTCCCAAGACTGTTATGAAATATGAGGGTAGTATCACTCTTTCCTCTGTCAGCACCTGAATATTTTTTAGTACTGTTGATGTAGCCCCAGAATGCTACACAGGTGATGAAATTCCTTTAGATTTAGCGATTGGTGAGAAGCAACTTAATCCATCATCTGCCAAAGGGTGTTATTTCCTAACATTTGATCATGAAGTACCATATGACAGGGTTAGGTGATGAAGTCATGGAAGCAGGCACTTGGCAGGAAGCCCACCCTGTCTGGGCACAAGCCATGTTGTACAGCAGAACAGAATATTGCTATGCAAACATATGAGAATGCAGGAATTAGGTAAAGTGGAGGACTTCCATTAAATGCATAAAGAAGAAAACATTAAAAAATCGATACATCTCTTGGAAACAGCTGCTACATGGGAGAGCTGCCAAGCAAGGGAAAGAGTTATTGCATGGGAAAGCTGCACAGCTAACTGCCAAGCATGGGGTGGAGAAGGAAGCAGTAATGATTGTAAGGCTACATTAACTAAAGTAAAAAATGATTTAATGCAGGTATTGACAGATAGGGGAGAGGATCAGAAGCCAAAAAAGAGGAGAAAACTAGTGAGCAGTTAAAAACCAAGAAACATAATTTATAAGGGTAAATCACACAGAGATTAATAACAATTAATTAACAGTTGGCAAATTATGATAGACTACTTAATATTTAAAGCAGTAGCTAAATTAGAAGGGAGATTGTTAAGGCAATATGCGATAACTTTTTAAATGTCACCCTCCCAAATATTAACCAACTGCTTGATTTGGGGGACATGGGAAATAACTTGAACTTTCATCATTACTACTGTACCATTAAGTTACAATTGTCATTTACTGATTTTATTTATTATTTTGAAATGTAAATAAAGTTTAGCTATGTCTTAACACTAATTTTAAATTTTGGGCTTACCTCTTAAATATATTTTTCAGTTCAGCTAGTTTTTGATGTGACACATGAAGCTTCTAATAAATGAATGATAAACATGGCTTTCTCATGAATGTTTTGAACAGAAAAAGTTTTATATGTATGTACATAAATATTTTTTTAATGAAATGGAACTAGTTGGTGCTTAAATGCAAGTTCACAAATTTTTTTCTTATGAAGGAAGCTTACAATTTCTTTCCTATTCTTTCTTTCCTAACCATTCTGCATCTTGAAGAAAGTTGTACTCAAAGGTAGTACAAGTAAAAAGTACAAATACTGAAATAATATTGAAAGCATGACAAAATAAAAAAATGAAATATGAAATACTGATCTCCTCATTTCAATGCTTCAAACAGAACTTATAAGGGAAAAGTGTTTTGAAGCCCAAAACCAA